ATCTATATACGTCTACACCATATTTATAAATGATCAGATTAGTCTATCTAATACATGACCTATTTAGGACGAAACTCAACATCCTATCACTCCTCCAAAAAACTAGTTTGTTCCATTCAATTGTTGGGACCAGATAAAAGATAATGTTATTTAACACCATTGATGTCAAAACCTCTATCTAAGTGGCACAAATATGTCATTTAATGAAAGGTATCATTAAATGAATCACTTAATTATACCTTTCATTGAACATAAAATTTTGTGTCATCTAATATGATGGTGTAGCACTAGTAACACTAGATAGCATTATTTAAAAAATAAAAAATAAATAAATAAACGGGGTGTTCTCTTACTATAGCCTCGCAACAATAGAAAGCAAAATCCACTTGTTTCTTTGATAACGTCTTTCATCATTCATTATTAATGAATGGTCTTAGGTGCACCAATTTCTACATCTAGAATGGTGTAAACTGTAACCCAAATGTTAGTCGAGCAAAACAAATTGGACTTTTCAGGAAGAATTAGAGAATATTTATTTTTACAAATCAAAAAGCGAATATAATATTACCGAGGCCTAGAAAAATATATTGTCAAATAATACTATTAGGTTCCACTGACTTATCATCAAATACTACATTGACTGAAGTTATAATTTCAGTAAAACTAAATAACATTATTCTATATCGTCAATAGCAACTTTCAATTAACACGGCTTAAAAACTCACCTAATTGGAAGAAGAATTTGAGCAAAAAATGGGAATTTTCTTTGCTTTTCCAAAGGCTGGGTGGCATATTCCAAAAATATTACTAAATCACAATAAATGGAATTTATCATTTCATTCATTTCCAGTATAATTTAACTCTGCACTATGTCATAAATGAAATGCACAAAAAGAAACCCTTTAAAATACATTACAAAAATGGTATTAAATTTCCATATTTACCAACCCGAATCTATAAACAATACAGCGTGTTACATTATTAGATTCTAAATGATTAATGGCATATGGTATACGGCACTGACTAGAGTGGAATATATTCTACATTTGATTAGAACAGACAATAAGCCCCTATTTAATTCCCATTGTTTTAAAATTCTTCTTTCTAAACTATCATTTTTCAATAATACTGGTTGTACAGAAAATATTTCAAAGAAGTTATACAGATGTGTCACATGAGAGTGAGTTCCATGTGGAATAAAATAATGCCACAAAATGATCACCCTCTCATCTGCAAAGTTTCTGTTTCTGTACATTAAGCAACTCTCATCATTTTTAACCATACATTTACACAAAAAAAAAAATATTCTACACGAAAATTCAAAATTTTTCCATATTTTTAATCAAAAATTCTTCTAAAAAATACAATTCAAAACTCTTTAAAATGAAAATAATGGCAGCAACAAACAGGGGCTGATTGTAGCATGTGAAGTATTAAGCTGGACAACTGCATACTGCACGTGCTAGTTCTTTTTTGCCACCGAACAGTCAAATTGAAATTTAGTTCCATCTATTCAATTCTCGCATCCTGGGTACTTTTATCGTAAGGCTACTTCAGTATTTCTAGACCGCTCTTAAAGAATCTGCCCAACTACCCATTCTTTTATTTTTGGTTCACACCTAACAAACTCAACACGACAGCAGATGCTGACTCTTGCTCAAGATTGGCCGAAAATGTCAATTTTTCAACTACAACTAACCTTCAAATTTTACGAGTCATATGTCGTGATTGAGGCAGATTGATTACCTTTCCCATTTACGGGCCCACCGTAACCCATTGATATTGCACAATTTAACATCTCTTGGAATTTCTCTCCACTCACAATTTATATTATAGAATTCCAAAGTCAAGTGGATTGATCCATCTCTATCTTTTGTTACCTATTTGCACCGACATTAGTGTAAGAACAGAGGTACATTTTAACTTGTTACCAAGATTAGGTGACTGAATCCCGGATTCTATAAAGATTGTCAACAAGAAGTTTGGTTGTAATGTGTTATTGTCATTGATTTCAATCTTTTGCTTTCATAAGGATAAGGTTTTGGAGATGGTTTTATCTTTAGGAGTCCCCACAACGGGTGGTCAAAAATTAATGGTGGGAATGTGGGATTAGAACAAAAAAGTTAATGATAATTTTCCAAAGGATTTCAGACTACTGCTACATCATTATTGATTATGGTGCTGTTGTATGCCGTACTAAAATTTATTTTCAATCATGCTATGTGTACATCTTTTACATTATTTTTTACTCTACCACATAAAAATACACCATTGGACAATTTAAATTTTTGACAATTTTTCCCTCCAATCAACACTTAACACCACTTGTAATGTCAACAATAGCGTCGACAAAGGAATGTACACATGACATTTTCATTTTATTTTTATGTCAATTCTTTTAAATCACTTTACAATTTGATTAAATCGGTCTAAGTATTGCATTAATTTTGGTTCCCACTTCCAACTGTAATGCTTTAATAAAGCTCTCGAAAAGGACAAACAACACATCGATATGACAATATCTAATAAAGATTATACTAGGATATTTTAATTGAACTGTCGACTAATAATCAATCATGTCGCATGGATGTAACACATTAGTCGTGTTACGTAACATCAGTTCACTCCCATCAATTTCAAGCAAGAAACTAAGGCAATTCATATATGGGGGGCATTCTTGTCAAAATCCCAAAATCATTCCTCCTTAATGAAGGACCTATTCTGAAATTCATTCAATATGAAGAAGACATACACCATTTTATGCATGAAAGTAAGAACAAAGCAAGCATAGATGAGGATTTCTTGTTGATTGGAAAAGTGAATGCATTACCAATTATCAATTACATACATCATCACAAACACTGAATTCAAAAGCCAATTAAAACTACCATAAATATTAGTGTTTTAAAAAAGCGGTGCCTAGACGTGGAATGAGCACAAAACGCGCTTTTTTGCACTTTGTTATTATTCTTTTTGCCCAGGTGCACTTTTCTTTTTTTCTTTTTTTTTTTAAAACCATTTTTTTACACTTTTTAACGCATTTTTTACGCGTTTTTATCTTCTTTAATTATTAAATAATTTTTAGATTGATTTAAACATTTAAAATAATATTAAAAGAAGAAAATGCATTTTTACGTATGGGTCGAAACTTGACCTCTACACTTTATGCTTTTTAGAACACTGATAAATATATAGTAGGCCTAACATGACCAAGTGTAAAGATTACCTTGCTGCTTATATCATGGAATTAGTTTTATCAACCAGTGGAAAAATGAAACACAATGACTAATCCTGGGACATGTATAAAAAATGCAATGCAGGCAGAGCTTCTCTTTCACTTCAGTGGATAGACCGGATAGACCAACATATCAGATGAAAAACAAGAGGATTACATCTTTCTGTTGATAATGATGTTAAAGTAACTGAGATTTGAATCGTCATTTAACGACCATGGCTACTAAATTCGGACATTCTTACAAAAGCAAACTTTGGTGAAACTCAACTGAGGATATTTAAAATTCTGAAATTTCCTCAGGTCCTTAGGAAAAAACTAAAAGTTAAGACTATAACGCTCATTCTTCCAATTCTTACAAGTTTTATATGTTCTCACAAAAAGTCAATCAAAATAAACCAGCTGCTAGAAGATGGAAGTTCAATTTTCACGAGTAAAGTTTAGTAAACCTTGCAAAGTGTTAACAAACTCGAGTATCCCTTTCCACAAGAAACTAAACTTGAGAAGATGAGAAGCTAAAATGGTAAGTTTTCGACGTTCATTTAAACCAAAGCAAATGGGGTAATCTGGTCGTAGTAATAATAAGGTAAGGCTGCTAATGGCTTAAGAAAGAGGATTTCACTCAGAATGCGTTGGACTAGGCTCATATAGGATGCACCTGGAAACAAGTAGACACTCCAATAAATCAAATTCCGGAATAAGTTGATCTCTATCAAAAATTTCAGGAAGAAATATTCATTCCACAGAAAATTTAAATTCTAAATTCTAATAATTAATTTTTTCATGAAAATTCCTTTAATGTAACCATTAAAAATTTATTATAATGAAAATTCTATTTTTAAGTATAAATTATAATAAGACGGGGATACATATACACACAAATAATCTTAGCTCACATCTTGATGCGAGTGTAACATCATGGTCGATAGATGTCTTATAAGTCATACAAGTTTCATATTCATATGTTAAAAGAAAATTATTAGCTTCCCAATAACCTGTATTTTAAATGTGAGTATCAAGTAAATTCTAGTAAGAAACACCATAACAGTAGTATGTACATTCCTCATAAATTTTTCCTATGTTATCAGAAAAGCACTAGGAACTAATCTATACCATCCAAAAGAGTAAAGTCGTTGACTTTCATAGAAAACATGAACTAAACAAAGTTCAAATTGTAGTTCTCAGTAAGGAGCAGCATAAAGAAGAGTGCAAGTGGAGATTGTTTATGAAACATGACATAAGAAAGTCAAGAATTCCAAATTAACCCCAAGCTTATGAAGGCTTCACAACTAGTACATCTAATCATTAATCTCAAGATATGATTAATTATTGAGTAGTATATGATTATATCTGCCAAGTAACAGTGTGCACTTCAAGTGCTATGACCAATTTTTAAAGCTTTCTAACCTATACCTGCATGCATCATATGGGACTACCAAGGAGTTGAAATGGTTTAAGTTAGTTGCAGGAAAAATAACCTAAGTTGATTAATTTTATTTCCCCTCAACAATTCTTCTCACAATATTACAAATATCTTCAAGTTTTACCTGATAATAATCATTAAGCATGAGAATAAAGACTTCAAAGATAATGGCAAAGATAACCTTTGGGATCCATGCTCAGCCATTTCATCATTAATTCATGCAAGAACCACCCCAAATGTTTCATCAATAATTAAATCAACCATAACATGAACATATAAAAAAGGATGGTATTCATTTCTTATCTCCATTCATGTTGAAAAAGGGAAGACTTCGTCAAACATGGCTTGTGGTTTGATAAGCTTTTAAATATTGGTAAAAATGTACGTGCTTGTTGACCAGCACAAAAACACCTTTGGCCATTTCTTTTATTTATATGACAATTGACCAGAGACCAGCAGTGGTGTATAATAAGACAAATTAAATTGGCAAAGAAAATGTATCTTTCAATCAAATTACTTGAAATTATTTGTATACACGTTAAGATGGTAAAAAGACATTTCATACCAGGTCAGCTGGTCTTGCTAATGCAGTGAGGGATGTCCAGCTGTTGTTTGCTCCCTGTCTTTATCCTTTTGAGATGACATCTGTGATTCCTAATGTCCATTTTCTACCCACGTCACTATATTTGTGCTTTTTACTTCTTTTATCATTATTTTGTTTGTTTGTCAACTTTGATCACATCATAGAGGCCACTCTCTGGCTGTTGACAACAGAGGAAGTAACATAACAAATAATTTCATGAGCCTAGAATCATAACTGCAGAAACCCATAAGCTTCAGTGATCCTAACATCTGTGAGACCAGAATCATAATTTTAGAATCCAAACGCTTCAGTGAACATGTCAGAGGAAAACCAATGCAATATTAGGAATGCACAAAAAGGACAGTGAGGAATATATAATATTGTGGTAGAAATCTTTCACAAGGCAAGACAGCAAAGGTTGCTTCTCTAATCAAAAGTCTTCATAAAAAAAAATCAATGTCAAATGGCAAAAAGGATTATGCGTAGCCCTATAGAAGCTCTGATTCAGAAAAGAGATGAAATCTCAATGATATAGGTTAAAAGATGGATATTTAGACCAAAATTAATGTGCCCTACAGTGATTGTAAAAGATTACCTTGGAATTTTACAAGTGGTAGTTCTTGTTAGACATATTGTTGTCAAACGACCTTCCCGGCGATGATATAAACCGGTTATTAATTATGAATCGGCATTTGCAATATGACTGAACGACATATCAATATCAAAATTTGAACGACCCAACCCAAAAAGTGATTGGACCATTTGAAGCAACCAATTTTATTGTGTTTCTCATGGGTCATATTTTCTACCTACTTGGATGACTAGCTATACTTGAGGCCCACTCTATATTCTACTATGTGTTATTGGGCCACGACCCATTACCTAGACCTAACTTACCTTATTTGTGACTTGACCCAATATTTATTCACTTGGTCTTGCACGCCACTTTTGAGAAACAAGACTTGGTGTCTCTCTTCTTCATCTCTGCATGCTCTCTCTCGACCCTGTACTCTACTGCCTTCTGCTTCTCTTTGTGTTGATATCTTGGTGATATTTCTCCTCCTTTGTGGTGGTCTCTAAGTGGCAAAGGTCTAGCAACCGTAGGTGAAACCTTTGTGGTGTTCTTGGGTCGTTTGTTTTGGTATTGATTCGGGTTTTTGGTTACTGAGCCTGTATATCGTCTTGGTGATTGAAGATTACACTTCCTTACAGTTCTCAGTCTCAACTAAGTCAAATGGCAAAAAGGATTATGCACCTAGCTCTGAGATATCAAGAATAAGGCTTAGCTTGTATGTTATTATGCCAATATGTTGCTAATAAAATAATTTATTTCAAGCATTGTGTAGAAGCATATGATCAAGGGTGTAGATTCAAAATTTAGCCCCCGTTTGGCCCCCTTTAAAACTCTTCAATTTGGCCCCCTTTAAAACTCTTCAATTTAATTTAATTTTTTCTTTCTCCTACTTTCAACCACACAATCTTCAAAAAACTACTATTCCCCCCATTATAAATTCAAATAATGGGGGCCAAGCAGGGGCTTAGTGTATTCTTAGTAGAAGATGGAGAATATAGTATCTTGAAGGTGATAGTTTGAAGCCAGATCCAGCAGGTTAGCAGAACATATATTGACTGCAGGCTAAAAATGACTGGACTTGACATATACATAGTACAGAGACAGATTGATGAATAATACCTTGTGCAAAAAGAAACTCTCTGGTGTGCATACGTAAAGTGATGTGATGCCTGATAGTTATTACCTAATTGGTCATCAAACTGTTGAGTTCTTCGTGGCCAAGTATGATGTACATCTGTATAAAACATCATCGTCTTATGCCACAGGAAATTGTGGGCATACATCCAACCATTCAACATCACAACTATGAAGTGACAATTGATGTGCACACTGGTACGGCAAGGACTGTACTGTAATATATAAACATAACTTCAACCAATCAGACGCATTCTCCAGCCTCATCAATGTTTTATTTCTTTTTTAGTTCCATGAAGTTTCCATAAAAAGCTAGTTCAATATATCAAACTTGCAAAATAAAGAACTGCATGAAAGAAGAAAAAGAGATGGTCCCAAATGTAGCGATGTGAACATCAAGTTCCCCCTCATGTAGAAAATGTGAATTTATTAAATACATATCACAGCCCATTCAAACTGATGCAAGCTTAAGCAAATAAGAATATAACTGATGTAGGGGAATCAGGTACGAAGGATAAGTAACATTATGTCCTTCTATTCATGAGTTACTGAATTTATACCTTGCTTTGATAAATTAATTTATTTGGGAATTTTCTAAACTAGTTTTATTTGGCACATGTTTGGAATCATCTTCCTTCTTTCCTATTGAATATGGATTTCTTGGCTTAACAAAAATTTGAAAGACAAATTCTGTAAGTCCACTGATGATCTATTTTAAACCTTTAGAGACCTTAATTATTCGATATGATGATTGCACAATTCACCAGCACATTATCCACAAACATTTTGTAGTTGATTCATAATGCCACTTACAAACTAAGAAGCACGGATACTTGTTAACTTATCATGTACCGTATCCAAACTTGGATATTCTTTGATATGCTCTAATACATATCGGATATATGTTTTTTTAATTATTTTATATTTTTTCACAATTTTTAAATTTTTTATATGTATCGTATATGTATTTTTTAATTATTTTACGTCTTTTAATTATTTTCGATGTGTGTCAGATATGTTAGGACATGTAAAGAAGAGTTTTATTGACCATAGATTGACCGAAAAAAAATAAAATTACTTAATAGATAACTATTGTTGTTATCAATAACTTATTGAAAATAAATAATCTTTATTGAAAATACCCAAATAGAGTTTTAATTTAATTGAAAACTAGAGTTTTTTATTGGAAATAAATAATAGTATTAAATATTTTATTACATGTAAAACCGTATAAATAGTTGATAAATATATTTTTATTATTGAAAATAGAGAATAGTATTAAATATCTATTCAAAAGGAGAATTCAAAATGTAGGACATTGTATGAGACTCATTTAATACTTTTGAAGGAGTTGGACTACTCGAGGTTGTTAATTTATCATTAGATGGTCAGCATTAGAGAATATTATTTTTAATGATAATGAAGAAGATGATGTTGACAATATTGAAGAAAATGAAGTAATGACAATTAAGGATTAAGATAAAATGTTTTAATACTTTATTTTATTTTTATTATCATGTTTTTGTTTTAATTTTTTTATATTAATGAAATTATACGGAATTTTAAAGTGTCCATATATATACACATGTATCCGCATATCCTAATTCTTTTTAAAAAAACCTGTATCTACGTACCTGTATCATATTGTATTTTAATTCGTGAGTCTTAGCTTACAAATCATTGAGTTATGATAGCTTTTTATCAAAAATTCTATAAAGAAATTGTACGTAAAATGTACGAGCTAATTACATTGAGTTTCCAACCATATGTAGATTACTTTACAACAGACTATATACAATTGAATAAATATGTATGTAATGTATGAACTCTTTCTCTAGTCCAGGCCAACTATAGAACTCAAGAAACAATTAGTTTCCACCGGGGTCAATTGGCAAAAAAGCCAAGCTGTGCACAACGGGAAGCACGAAAAATAACCTATAAAGAGGTCCTTAACTATTTCCTTATTATGTAATGACTGGCTGCATTTGAAACCACTCCAAAATCCAATTCGTCTGCTGATTTCTCTCCCTAATCACGTGTTGCTGATATATGAGAACTCTATTTTATCTAAATGAAGTTGAATCAACAAAACTTGAATGACGAGAAGCATACAGATTTATCTATGGCAGATTGATATAAGAAAAATATCACGACAATGTTAAGAGAAGGAATGTCTGTTAAGACATATAAGAATGAATGTCTCCAGAAAATGTGTGAGCCATTGTCTGTTAAGACATTCATCAACTGATAATTTCAAGATCAGATGCATCTTTTTTGAGCTCAACATTACTTTCTCACTGACTTAAACCTCACGAGAAACATTCCCATCGTGAAGCTCTGATATGCAGTGATTACATATGCAAATATGGCAATGGAAACATATTTGGACTTGGTTACTTCTAATTAAGGAAAAAAGAATCCTTCAGCTAGAAAATGGCACAGGTAGTTTCCAGCTCTATAGCACAAACAATTTAACTAGGGTAACGTGTATGTGTCCGACACATGTCGATACTGGCACTCTGCAATAATCATTTTTCTTTCATACTATAGTTATTATATATTTTTTTAACTCAAAGTTATTAATAAATAACAAATAAGTACTTATATTTAAAAAATTTCAACAAGAAAAATCAATAACATGTATAAAGTTAAAGTTATAATATATAAATGAAGAATTTTAAAAAAATTAATCAACATGCCGTGTCGGCACTTTTTTGAAAAATCATATATCGACGCATCCGACGCGTATCATGTCGGACACACATGTCTGTGTCGGTGCATCATAAGTTTCCAGTTAAGTAAATAAAGTGTAAAGTCTTTTCTCTTTCCAACCATCAATACCATATTTGATCAGCAGTCTACTCAAGAAGCATCATACTTGAAGGACATCCCAACTGTAGAACACATTATACTTGAAAGTTAAAAGACTTTCCACTTGATGACAACATTTTGGCAGGGGAAGGGATCGGAATGGAGATTACAGGAAAAAATCACTTCTGAGAAGCAAATAACATTTTTTGACAGCATCTTGGATCCACAGACACAGGATTCTAAGAAGATGATGCCATTGTAGTTATACTAGCATAAACTGGCAGCTAACGCGATCAACCCACCTGGTCTCAAAAAGGTAACCTCATAATATCAAGTGTGATAGGGTCCCTTGTTGCTGAGTCCCCTGTTGCTGCTGCTCAACTGATGGAATTTCCTGCTGCTGCTACCACTGTGGACCTGTGAATCAGCTGATCAGTAGAATTGTTAGGCAACACTATTGTAATGGAAGGATGTAGGCTGGAGATGTTGATTGTAATGTATAACTCTATATTGAATTGAAGATTGAGAACAATCGTTTATGTAATGAGAAAATGCAAACAGTAAACACAATCTGTAAATCCATGAAACTGCACTCCAGAAATTAAGGATAGAAAATGCAGATATTTGGCATTCGAGAGGCCAATTCTCTCCATCAGATTTCTCTGAATTTCTGCCTACTTCCAAATGAAACGATACCCCCTATTTATAGGTAAAAGCCTATACAACTTATTAATTCCCTATTTGACTCCCTTTAAAACAAAACAATTTATTTCTCATACTCATTTTCAACCACGCATTCACATAATAAAATATTTTGCACGTAAACCCAAAACCTTTCCCCACTTTTTAACCACACATTCTTAAAAAAAAAAAAAACACACTATTGAAAACATCATTTTTACACAATAATGGCCATGAAACATGGGCAAAGTTCCCATAATACCCCCAAGTAAATGAAAATTGGACTAACTACTAATTTGGGGTTATATCAAAGCACTTTCACAAATAGTGCATAAATTACAAGTTCAACAGTACCCGGTGCAAAACTCTAGGTAACATGAAGTTTAGAATGGTTGGCATTCACAGTTTACTCCATCGTATGACATCAAGTTTTGACAATATCTTAATAGACAGAGATAATGGAAAAGAGTTAAAAATGTGTTAAAACACTGAATTTAATATTAAATACTAGATATTTTTCATCAAAACCTATGAAACTTAAGCTTCATTGAACTAAATAAAGTAAGTATTAAAAGCTCCCTTATAGCTAAGACTAGTAATTCAATAATATTAATCATTCTAAAATTTTATGAAATGAAGTTTCTGTGAGTAAAGATTTCAATTCTAACTTAAAGTTTTTAGATTTTTATCATAAATAATATTGCACTTCCTTCCTTAGGTCCATAATCCAGATTACAATAGGAATCAAATTTATTGTTTTGGGGTTTCTATTCAGTTGTTTCCTTGAATTTACAGGTGGAACCTACCAATATCATTCATAACAGATATTAAATACTATTAAACGTGTAAAAAGATACGCTTATTACAATTATTTGCAACTAGAAAAAATGCACATGGATTATGTTGAAATTAATCCTGAAAAACACAATACGGATTGCAAGTTAGTAACAATATAAACAAGAAAAAGATGATAAGCTTTATTCCAAATATAAATTTGAGGTTGGCTACTTGAATCCTTTTTAGCCACTTCTTGATCTAACAACACATCTACTGAAAGTCCAAAGAAATTAAATATTCAGCAACCACTTCACACACTTACATGGTCTGTCTCTTCCTGATCAAATGTATTCATGAGAGCTTCATTAGAATTGCGATGGATGCACCAATGATCTACTTCATTATGCTCTAAATTTTTTGTCAGTAGTTGTCATGACTACTTTTTGGCATATAGCTTCCAAATCCATCATTGTTTCATCATACATATACTTAAATGTATTTATATATCTGATAAAAGTATTTTTTTTTTTCTAGCACACATCACTACCCTATGCACCTTAATTTTAAGTTTCCTTAACAAATTCAAATCACCTTATTTCTTCATATTTTCCAGCCAATCAATCTCTAAAGTAGATAAATGGTTTCCATGGTAGATCTCTGTGCCATAAACCCAAATTGATGTTATGCTCAATCACATTCTCTCATAACTTTATAGTATAACTCGTAAATTTCATACCTTAAAGTTTGTATGACCATACCTATGAACTACTCTAAATACCAAAAAAGTAGCATATTAAAAGGAAGCTCACTGCATTTGCTGCAAACAGAACACTGAAAGCATTAAATCCCCGAATGTGCCCATTACAGACTCATATGTTGAGAAAAACACTAGAAGGAAGAGATAATTTTATAACTTGTTATAAACCTAAAGAAGGTTTGGACTATAAGTTTTAAAGGTTTCATCACCTGTAACCTAAGATTTTTGTATCTGCAAGAGAGGTGGAAAATCAACCTTAGAAGAACGAAACCAAAGAGCAATGTCAATAGACTCAATACACTCAATTATTGAGCTATCAATATACGTAATTATCACTCTTAAAAGCAAACTCGTGAATCATGTAATGTATGAAAAAGTCCTGAGGCTCTAAAATTCCATGGACCTAAATAAGTGGTTAAAAAGTGCACTTCCACAAAAATAGTCCAGAACCAAACTCCACACAGTATCGAGCATACTACCAAATTAATGCACATTATTATCCAGGCAACATATTTTCGAACTAATCAATTCTAAATGCATATACATGAATCGAGATAAAATAAGGTTCGCTCATCCATAAAAAACCTAGGGATTGCAAGTGTGACGAGGCATAACAAACAAACTATTATTTCTATTTCTCGGTAAACAATAAAATACGAAAAACAACGATTCTTCTATTATAACTGAATGCAAAAGAATAATGAAAACACCGCAGTGGAGAAATTCACTTACAAAAAGGATTCGAGAAGATTCAGCTCAATAGATGAGGAGAATGTCCGCGAATCGAACTTCAACAAACACGAATTTGAGAGCTGAAAAATGGTTACTGGGAGCTTTTTTCAATCAAAATTACGATTTAAATCCGCTAAACAACAGCAAAACGATTTGGGCTTCTTTCGAAGAGGAATTATTTTAAAGGCTGAAGATGCGGTTTTCAAATTTAGCGCCTGTTTGATCTGGATTTTTATCCTATGGTCGGTTTTTTTGGGGTTCAAATTGTGATGAATTAAGGGCCGTTTGACATGGTCAAAATGAGTTTTTGAGACAAAAAATTACTTTTGAATCAATTTGGTTAATAATTTTATAGAAGTGCTTCTTCTAATTAAAAAGACCTTCAGAGTAAGTCTCTCTAATGTTACTTTTCTAAAAACACTTTCAAACTAAGAAATTTCTTTAAAAATTTAAATTAAATATTTTTTTACAAAAGCTCCTTTGTAGAAAGTAAATCTAATATCATGTCAAACAAGCCCTAATTGTCGTTTACAGAGTTTGATTTCTCTCACTTCTATCATATATCTATTCTACTCGAGGTTTGTCTACATGCCAAATGTAGCCCAAAATTTGAACCAAGGTCAGGGGAAGGATAATTGCATTACCACCACAAAATATTTATTAAGTGAACCACAAATTTTAACATTTTTTTTTTTATGATTGTGGGTGTTCGGATCAATTTACGGGCACCTCGACTAATTTCACGGGGACCTGAAGTTTACAATCGGGCACTCACCTTAGTGGTTTTGAGAAGATTTGAATTAGTGACCACTGAAAAGCAAATTCAAAGTCTGACCACTAAACTACCTTTCAAAGTTAATATTTTTTTTAACATTTTTCTTATTTATTTAAATAGCTTTAGAGTATCTCCAATCTATTTTTAAAGAATACATTCGATCATTTGGATGTCATTTATAAATTTAGAGAGTTGAAATTTTGAAGCATTTCAATAAGTTCTTTATATTTAACACTTAATTTTACTACTTTCAAAAAAAAATTATTATTTTTCTTTATCTTTTATTTTAACTAACTTTTCTCTAGTTTATTTTATTATTTTCTTTCATAAAAAATTGAAACATTTTAAATGCATTTAATTATAAGGAATAAGTTTGTCTCTCCAAATTTAAAGAGTCAAACACACTCTAAATTAAAAGTTAAATTAAAGAGTCTCTTGAAACATGATTTTAAATGTTGACTTTTTAAAATTAAGAACATATCATAATTGAGAGCATATCATATTTAAAGAGTATTTTGAAGATACTCTAAAGTGAAATTACATAATTATGATTTTAATATATTTTTAATTAATCACACCACATTATAGCCCCACCACAAACATAAACCCAGAGTGAAACCCATCTCGGCACCAAGAAGGGCTGCTTCAGGCCAATCCAAATTGACCAAAAAGGTTAAGATTTTGCTAAAACCATTTACTATTAAAAACGAGAAGTTAATTGACCAACAGATCATGAGAAGCAGTTTCACCATCTTTCGTTGAAGCAAAATTACCAGAAAGTTTAGGAGAAACTGGTAGCAGTGTCTTGCTACTTCCATATCATGTGAAAAAGAATAAATAGAATTAGATGTCAGGTTACATAGACAAGTAGTCGAGGGGAAGATAGCATGCACTGTCACTCTTGCCATTGTCATTGCAAATCATCATACAATGTTTGACAAACTGATGCCCCAAATCCCTTTCACATACATCAGCAAAATAACTCAGCAATTAGGGGTATTGAGGATATTCGAACGACGGTAATAATGATATATCAAGCCCTTGTTTGAACTCGATTTTTTTCATCAAAATACATTCTTCAACAGTGATTTGATCTCATTTCAACCACCCATTTTTCAATAAAATAATATTACATGTAAACCCAAATTTTTTATTTATTTTTTAACCACACATTTTCCATTATAACACTATTTGAAAATGCATTTTTTGAAGAAAATCAGGCTCAAACAACCCCCAAATTGGAATTGCTTGGATTGACCTTGAATCTTGAAGCAGTAGCACCTAGCATTTTGTTGGGACTAGTTTAATCTTAGGGCTCCGGGCTCCGGGCTCCACCATTAACTGGGGTTTGAAGAAATTGGATATAGGAAACTTTGTTAGCTATAAATTCCGACAGAGGTGAAGGAACGACAACCCACCATTGGATACGCCTCTATTTGAAGCTTTCTCCTTTGCTAGGAGTATTGTTCTTTAGCGGGAGTATTAATATTGTTGTTTTACCAATACTAGGAGTTGTGTACACTACATATTTAATTATTTATTCATTTTTCATTTTTATTATATTAAGAGTTTTATTTTTTAATAATTTGTTGTATTAAAAGTATAATTGTAAATTTGTTGTGGTATATTTATTGAAATTATATTTTAATTGTGGTGTGATTATACAATCAGGCTCAAATCCAGATGGGACACGTGTCGACGCATGATTGAACAGTTTGAAAAATTAAAACAAAAACACTCAATCATTTTTTGTCACATCAGTCTGTCTTTTCACTTCCTATTTTTCGATCTGGTTAAGTGACTTCTATTGATGATTATAATATGGTGTAGTAATTAAAATTTGTGGTTGTAATATAATTATCCTAGGGGAAATGAATTCATGGGTAAATTGGCTCACTGTTCAAAATTGTGAGCAAAATTGAACATGAGAAATTATGTCCTTGTGTGACGACCGTTGCTTGAAGTTGCCATTTTGATTATTATTTTAATACAATTCCATGCAATAAAAGTATCAAAATTTAGTAAATTCTGATTTTAATATTCACCAAATAGGTCCAGTAAAATGTCATGTTTTAGTCACATTCTTTAAATTTATTTATCCTTAAACTCATTTCAACTATACGTTCTACCACTAAAACAATTTTTCACATAAATTAAAAAAAAATTCTAAACATTTTTCACAAAATCTATTCTTAGGCTCAAAGAAGGCTATTTATTTTTTCTTTCGAATGACTTCTCAATTTTACCATTGCATGCAAAAAGATTAAAAAAAGAGAAATCAAAACCACCAAATTAAAAATAGATACTTTAGGAGTTTAATTTAACATGAAAATTTCTTTCATTTATATTGTTTATTTATGTTACAAATTAGAGAGAAAAATAGAATAAAAGAGAGGAGTCAATAGAATTGTGCGTATTTTATTTAGAATCAAAACCCTATATTTGTAGGGAATGATTAGGGATACAATGGCATTAATTTTTATGATTGTATGAGTATAATTGTCATTCTTAAATACTACTATATTTACAACACTCCTCCTTAAATTACTATTACATAATAACTATCTCTTTGAAACATTATTTGGCAAAAATCTAATGGAACAAAAAATCCCAACAAATGAAAAAAGAGTAAAAATAATTGGGAGTCATAAAATGCTGTTTCGTTAGACCTTTGTCAAGAAAATCCAATGGAATAAAACTTTATCGAAGGAAAAAGAGTACAACTACTTCCCCTAATTTCAGTTCTTGTAACAAACGGCCCATATCCTGTATATCAATGTTTTCAATATTAATATCTTGTAAGTCAACGTTTTCAAGAAAACTCAATGAGGAAAAACTTGATGACTGTAGTAACATAATGATTTAAAAAATTACTCTTATTGATCTCTTTGGACTCAAGAGTCTCATACATATAAAAATATTATTTTGAGAGTAAATGTCTTGTATGTTATGGACATTTATCACTCAAAGAATATGCCTCGTTAAAACCTTATTAAGAAAATCTTATGAGAAAAATTCCAATAAAAGAAAAAGAGTACATTATTATTTTGAATATGCTTCGAAAGTTGTCTCATTAAAAACCTTGCCAGAAAAATCTAATGTGACAAAACTTTGGTCATGGGGAAAAGAATGAAAGCCCAAGACTAGCTAACCAAAAGGGGGGATGAATTGGTTATTGCAACTTTTTCAAAAATAAATTCTAAGTATACAACTAATACTCACTAAAATGTAGCAATTTATCAAATATTCATAAATGTGAAAAAGAGTAAAGACTAGGATGAAATCACAACTAATAGATAAAAACAAAGATAAATAAAAGGGAAGAGAAGTCAAACAATATAATATGGAGGTTTGATTCAATGCAATGATCTACGTCCCCCGTTACCAAGCTCTGTGTCACCAGTAAGGCATTTTCCATTATATTGATTGACTTATGGTACAATCCAACCTTCTTACCATACTTCCGGTAACTAACAAACAAGGAACGCCGATCCTTTTACATTGTTGAGCTTTTCGGGACCTCAACCGACCCACAATCCAAAATTTAAAAGAAAATTGAAATTACAATCAAAGACTTCTCTCTTAATTAATGATATGAGTTTAATTAAGAATCAAGAGAGAAGTAGGTACAACACTTCAATAAGTCACAAAGAATATAGCTCAAGTGTTGTATTAAAAACTTTAATGAGATAAATGATTTTGCAAAGTTTGATTACTCAAAAAGTTTTTCAAGAAGAAAATAATTTGATCTTATAAAGATTGTAAAGAAGGTAGGAAAGATCAATAAATAACTCTCTTAAATGCTCAAGAATTGTTGTTATAAATGTGGAAGTGAAGAGGTATTTATAGCACTTAAATGGGTAAAACTTCTGTCCATCCGGACAAGCCATCTAGATGTCCGAACTCAACCGGACGAGGTAAAACTAGCCGTTTAAATCAAAGTCAGAATGGTAAAATAAATTGACCGTTGGGTCATCCGGACATTCGGTTGATCATCCAAACGTCCTGTAGAAATGCCTCCGAACAGTTTTCCTTCTTAATGATTTTGATCCATGTACTTTTTGAATGATCTTTTCACTTATTTTGTACAGATAAGTATATTTGTAAATATTTAATTATGAAATCGAAATACTTATCTTTTTCAAAATTAATTTTTATGCAAATATTTTTTTGTGTGGTGATTTTGTTTTTGTGCATAAAAATTCTTTGAGCTATAGTCGATGCGAAAGAACTGAAGAGTTATACATTTACATATGAGCACAAAAACTCATTTATATCTAATGTCTTCAATTTCCAAATGATCTTTGACGCGTAAGCTTGATTTTCATCTCTTCGTTTGTTGGTCTCCAAACTTGTATTGATTGTTTGGCGCCAAGGTTGTTTGTCTATGTGTATGAATCTAAATCTTGATTCTTGTGTTTTCATTCTTCGTTAATTCCATAATAATCACTAACAATATTTAAATTCAATTTTTTAGAATTAAATACAATTTGTTTGTGATAATCAAAATGAGAAGTCAACTATTAGATCAACAAAGAGT